TTATCTTGCTGCTCTTTTTCAAGGAGGTTTAGATGTGTCATTAAATTGTTGGTTTCAGATCTCTCCAATTTGTTGATGTAGGAGCTCAGAGCTATAAACATGCCTCTGAGTACTGCCTTTGCTGTGTCCAAGAGGAGCTGGTAATTAGTGTGCTCATTTTTGTTGAATAGCATAAACATTTGAATTTCCTTTCTAATCTCTTCCATGACCCACTAGTGATTCAGCAGTGTGTTGTTCAGCCTCCATGTGTTGCTGGACTTTCTTTGGTGGCTTTTGGTGTTGTGTTCTAATTTTATTCCCTTGTGGTCAGAGAGAATGCAAGGTATAACTTTAATGCTTCTGAATTTGGCAAGTTTGCTTTGTGAGGACAACATTCTTGAGTGTAGATGCAACACTGTACCTCTAAACTATAACAACATTTCTGAGCTGTTTTCTTTCTGTAGCATTGCTCAACTCTTCTAATAAATTTAGCAGGAATTCTTATCACTAGATAACTAAAAGACATCCCATGAGAATGTGGAGAAAGAGAAAGTCTCAAGGGATGGGTAGTTACATGGCAGAGGGAAGCTCAGTAGCTGATAGCTTGAATTTCAGTTGCTTTGGTAGAGGCAATAAGAAATATCCAGGAGATCTGGAAATGTGCAGGGAGCCTCAGTTCCTAAAATGTTGGAACAGTACATGCCTTTGCACAGGCCATGACTGTGCACAGCCACAAGAGCTCTTTGGGCTTGCAGCTATTGGACAGGAAGACAGAGGCCTTCGTGGAGATGTGACATAGCATCGCCTTGGGGGCTGCTGGGTGGGGACACAGAAGCTCCTCCTCTGCTGCATTCTGCAGGACAGAGAGCTGGGAGCACCTCCTGCACTGCCTCACCATGGGCACCAGCCTGCCGTCCTGCGTGTCCCTGTGTCTCCTGGGGATGGGTGAGTCCTCACATCCCCACCATCTCCTTGTCACATCCCCCCAAGGTCATCTCCACTGTTTCCACCCGGATTCTTTGTCTTTCCCTCCACAGCACTCACAGAAGCTGGGGTCACTAAGTCTCCCAGATAAAAGGTCATAGAGAAAAGCCAAGGTGTGTCTCTTTAGTGTAATCCAGTTTCTGGTCACAGTGCCCTCTTCTGGTACAGGCAGACCCTGGGACAGAGCTCAGAGAGGCTGCTTTATTTTCAGAACAAGGCTATGAGTGAGGACGCCCAGTTACCCAAAGATCGGTTTTCTGCACAGAGGCCTGAAGGTGCAGACTCCACCCTGAAGATTCAGCCTGCACAGCTGGAGGACTCAGCGTGTATCTCTGTGCCAGCAGTTCAATCCCCAGCAACCCAAAAAATAATCAAACAAGAATAAATAACTGCAACAAATCAAGATGTCCCCTAGAAGAAATTCAATCTTGCAAGTATAAAGAAACAGGATAGAAAAGTAAAGAGACAGGAAAATGTAGCACATTACTACTAATAGCCCAAATCAAGACATTACTATCAATGTTTCAGAATAAATCATAACACTTTAGATTTAATTAATACATTTTATTATATATAAAACACGTTTTATATTTGCTATGACTATAATGTCTGTTTTGTGAAATGTATTTGGGAAGTATATACATATTTCAAATAATTTCTAGGAATCAGTTAGAAAGAAGACATGATTTAACCTAAAAATTAGCAAAAGAGTTGTTAGGATCTTACAAATGGAAGATACACAAGCAGGCAGCTTCCTCTTCATATGACCGCTCCATTTGCTGCGGCAGCCATGCAGAAGCCTTGTTGACTGAGGGAATCCATCGTGCTTCCCTTCTGGGCATCACCAAGGGTCAAAGACAATGACTTGCCTAGGTCACAACATACTGATGTCACCTGGCATGTAATAACTGTTGAGCTTCTCCATGCTTACCACAAAATCTGAAGGAAGGAAGGCCTTTTCTTCTCATTTTAGAAAAGAAGGTCTGTTGCACACCTCCCTCATGTATACAGACAAGAGCTGAGATTGCAAGAGACAATCCTCCAGGCTTCTGGGGCTGTCCTGGGGTCTGGAGGACCCTGGGGCCAGCTCCTGGCTCAGGCAGTAGAGTGACATTCCAGTAATGAGCAGCTGATCACCAGGGGGCAGTGTGGGCCCACTGAGCCAGCTGCTACCTGACTGGGAGAGTGTGGGTTCAGCCTTGGCTTGTGGTCCCAGGCTGGGAAGTGTTTAGATAAACAGAGGGAGTGCTGAACCAGGAGCTGAGAATCCTCCCCCATCTCTTTCTCTCTCTGTTTCTCTGTGTCTCTGTCTCCCCACACCCCTCTCTCTCTTTCTCAGACCTGTGACCTCAGTAGGGAGATGATGCCTGGGGCTGCTCCCCTGGACTCTGCCCCAGGTCCCAGGCTCTTCTGTGGTGTTGTCCTGTGTCTCCTGGGAACAGGTGAGTCAGGGGCACTGGTGGGGCAGAGCCTGGTTGCTGGAGCATCCTATGCCCTCCAGGGCTAGGCCTTCATTGCTGTCTCTTCCTGCCTAGGTGTGGTGCATGCTGGGGTCCTCCAGTCCCCCAGACACCTGATCAAAGCCAAGGGAGGAAAGGCCATTCTTCAGTGCTCTCCTGACTCTGGACATGATACTGTGTACTGGTACCAGCAGGCCGAGGACAAGAGCCTCCATTTCCTCATTTCTTATTATCGAGAGTTAGAGAGAGAGAAAGGAAGCATCCCTGGGCGCTTCTCAGCTCGGCAGTTCAGTGACTATCACTCTGAGCTGAACATGAGCGCCTTGGAGCTGAGGGACTCCGCGCTGTATCTGTGTGCCAGCAGCTTGCACAGCCCTGCACAGGGACTGGCTTTCTCTACCCAAACCTTCCTGCCCCAGCTGAGGATGTCACTGAGGGGGGTGTGGGTGGGACTAGGCCCAGCCTTAGCAAACCCCAGGAGCCTTCTCCAGCTGTGGTAACCCTTCTCTGTCCTGCCCAGCT